CTTATGTAACATTCGTATTATAATTATAGACTCACTTTAGAATTTATAGCATTTTTGTCTTATCTGTACAGTAAATATTACATAATAATAGAAAGATTATATTATAACAATGAAAAAATCAATAATGTAATTTCTTATATAATATTTATTATACAAATAAGACAAGGACACTATAAATTCTAAAGTTAGTGTATGGTTACTTATGAATACTGCATAGGGAAAGTCTTTATCTGATAAAGAACTTATAGATGTATTTCATAATTTCCAAATGAATTTTTTTTTTTTTGGCAATTGATTTGTATGCTAATATATGTAGGAGTATTAAATGACTCAGATTTTCTGACCTCAAGTCAACTTTTAGTCGAGTCTTTTCAAGTTGACTCCAAGTCAACTTCAATTGTCATGTGATAGTGCAAAAATGTGATTTTATTGACAAATTAAATTATGGTCAGACCTATATAAGTGCACCCTCTATAAGTGCACACCCTCTCTAAATACATATTTAGATTCTGGTCCAAATATAAACTTAACCTCTATAAATGCATTTTTTCTTATTATTCTCTAAATACATATTATAAAATATAGTCCAAGGGCAAAGTCTGACTGTAATGCTTTTTTCAATTTTGAATTTGATTTGGTTTACTAAACCTTGCATTAGACCAATCAAATCGCTTTAAAATTTAAGAATGCTTGTTTTTTTAAACAATTGATATATCACTTTGTTCAATAATTCATATTTAACCTTTATTTAATCAGATTCAGTAAAATATAAGAATATTTAATTTTTAATAGCTCATTACTTTGTATTATTGCTATATTGTATTAAATAAATGAACTGTAATTCAATTGCATGAATTGTTTTTTACAATATAATTATTGAGTACGATATGTGTAATATTTTCTACTATAGCAGTCTCCTTGTTGTATTAAAGATTTTTTTACTTTATTAGAAATTGTTATAACATACCTATATATTACAATACATGATGATTAAAAAGTAAATTTTAGATATAAGTTTGGAAGAAACACAACCAGGGCAACTATTTATTTTATAGGTCATATGAGTAGTGCCACCTGCATTGGATTTATAGTGCTATCATTATGAAAATTTTGACTCTGCATATTGCTTATATTAAACATTGATAGCATTACCAGGGCTTCAGACATTATAGTTGGCTATTCAATAATTGTCATTTTTATCTGTATTATATATAATACTATTAATTTTGATGAATTAAAAATGGTATTTCAAACAATTACCTTTGGCACAGTAAATGACCAACATATTAATATAGTGTCTGAAGCCCTGAGCCTACCTACATGACCTGTAAAATCGATGGCCACCCTGATCATGTTTTTGAAAGAAATGCTTTAAAAATTTTATCAAATATGCATTAGGCAGTATTCACAACCTACATTAAATCAGTATTGTTATAAGAATTCTAATGACAATACAAAACATAATACTATATAGCATTAACTTCAAGACCCCTATTCTTATATAACGCACTATTGGTTTAATGCAAATTGTGGATTAGAGTGTCCAGAGTACTGCGATGCATAATTCTGCTTATACTAAAAATACTTTTTTACATTGTAATTTGATTTAGAAAGTGATTTAAATCATAAATCTCTTATAGGAACAATATAAAAAATTATTTTTAGTATGAGCAGAATTATGCATTGCAGTACCCTGGACACTCTATTGTGGTTACTGCCTTAAAAATTAACCAGTGCGATTTCAAAAACCAGTGATATAAGATCATTTAGTGCAACTTATTGGTTCTTTTCTAGCTGCATATTGTAAATCACTATTTTTTTAGATAGCAATTGTATGTAATTTCAATGAATCGGTTAGGGCAGCCTCCCCAAAGTGCAGTTACACAAACCAATATAATATAAAACTACAATCGACAAGTTATTGATATCAATATTGATAACTTGCTCAATTGTAATATGGGTTTGTGCAACTGCACTTTGGGGAGGCTACTCTGGTTGATTTTAATTTGATATTGCAATACTACATATATACACTGTGGCTACGTCATGATTACGTTACTAAAATTTTTAAGAGGCCATTCTGGCTTTCTAATAGCAATTTCTACAACGTATTCATTTCCAAATTTATGTTAACAAGAAGAAATTGATATTATTATCATATTAACATGTTTCTAAATTAAAATAACAAGTGTTTTTTTTTAATTATACTTAGCTAATTTAGGCATATTAAGAGGTGCTTGTATAATATTCTTGTTTAAATGTAATAAACAACCAATTGTTAATAAAATTTTAACAAGATTATAAAATAATAAAGAACTTTTAAATATTATATAAGACTATATATATTACCTTTTAAAATTATAAATTTTATCAAACTTTCAATAACACATTCTAAGTCTTCAATTATTTATCATATCTATAATGCCTTATATGCTTACTGATTCTTTTGAGGAAGCTGTCCAATGTACTTTACAAAAAACTGAAAAGCTTATCCAACCTAATAACCTTCAATCAAAAAAGAAAAAACTTGTACCAGTTTATGAATATCTTGATGAGCTTAGTGATGATCTTGAAACATTCAAGTTCTGTAAGATATGTAACAATAAATAGACAGAAGACATATCAATTTCAATAGTAACAAGTCATTTTAAAATAAAACATCTACTAATCTATAAAGATTTTTTGAAAACTCTAAAGTCCTCTTTTTATTCAACTGGCAAACAGCCTTGTATTGATTCTTTGAACCATGACTTGTTGCATTGAATCATTATTAACTAGCAACCATTTTTAGTAATTGAAGAGGAATCATTTATAAAATTTTGCTCCAATCTTGATTCGCATTACAAGCTTCCTTGTTGTCAAACATTATCTACAAATATAAAAAAACAATTTGAATTAGCAAAAATAAAAATTAAGGAGACTCTAAAGACTAGCCCAAATAAATTAGCACTTACTTTGGATGTTTAGATGGCATGCAATCAGCAATCTTTTCTTGGAATTACAATCCATTAGATTGATGCTAAATGGACAACAAAAGCTCTTCTTCTTGATTTTATTCCTCTTTATGATGCCCATACAAGAAAATACCTTGGAGAAAAATTCTTGAAGTTATTAAAGCTCTGGAGATTGAAGAACAGGTAATTGGCTTTATTAGTGATAATGCAAGAAATAATTTGATATGTTTACATTTTCTTCAAAGGTCTATAAATCCAAAACTTAAGCATGTATGTTGTGCAGCTCATGTTATTAATCTTATAGTTAAAACAGATCAAAAAAAATATCTTTGTCAAATTCAGAAGGCCCGACATTTTTGTAATAAAACAAAATCGTCTACATATTTAGAGGAAATGAAAAGAATATCTGGTATTTTAGACTGTCAATTTCTTCATTCAGTACTGATGTTAAGACAAGGTGGAATTCTATGTATTTGATGCTTAAAAGACTTATTGATATTTGTAATATTACCAATAACCTCATACAATCTCATTCAAATTTAAAAGATAATTATTTAAAAACTGACAATTAGAAAATTATTAAAGAAATGATGAAACTTTTCAAACCCTTTTATACAGCAACTTTGATCCTTTCAGATGCTTTGCAACTCTCACATGGATCTTTACGATTAATTATTCAGGGACTTTTAAATTACCTTAATAATCCTATTTTTAGTATATATAGTGAAACAATTAAAGAAATAAAAAACAAACTAAATGAATATTGAATTTATCTTAATAAATCTTTTGTCATTCCTAGTATTTTTGATCCATCGACTAAGTCTAAAGCATTTTATGAAACTGATCATATATTAGCTATTAATCAATTAGAAGATTTTTATTCATTATATAAAAAAGATAAATCCAAATCAACTATTAAAATTAAAGATCCATTGGAAACCTTTAGAAAACTAATGCAAGTACAAGATGATATACACAGAGAAACTGTAGCAAACACAAAGGATGAGTTAGTGGCATACTTAGCTTTTTCTTGTAAACCAGGTGTAAATCCACTACTGTGATAGAAAACTAACACTTAACATTTTCCAACTATAGCCCACATTGCAGCAGACTACTTTGCCTTACAGGTTACAAGCATTCCTTGTGAGCATGCTTTTTCTATTACCAAGAATACTATAAATTCTGCTAGAACTAATCTTCTTAAGGATACAGTTAGAGCTTCTTTAGGCCTAAAAAGTTGGTTTGAGGAGGGAGTTATTGAATAAAAAAAAATATATAGTTCTGTATATCGTATATAGTTTATTTTATCGTTATCATAATAAAATCTATAAAATCTAAAGAATCAGTCATATGATTTTTTTGAGTCATTTAGAAGTCGACTAAGTCGACCTCTGTGTTACACCAAGTCGACCTCTGTGTTACACCAAGTCGACTCGAGTTTACTCAAGTTTTTTAACACCCCTAAATATATGAACCATAGGTACATATAGTAACTTAAAATTTGCTTATGAAACTGTCTTTGAGGTTCTAACAAAAAAAAAACGTGAAATCTTAGTATAATTACACTTTAACCTTAAATCTCAACTTTACCTAACTTAATCAAATTAATTTTTTTTTTTTATTACACGCATACACTAGTATGTCTTTAAAATTTAGTTTTATTTGTATCATAAATCTTAATTTCTTAATTTTTTTTCATACGTATTGATATCGAATTTGCCAAAAAAAGATAACATTTCCAATTTACGATCCGGATTTGCCAAATTAGATGAATTTTGCCGATTTATGGTCCGAATTTACCATAAATAGATAAGTTCTTCCATGATCTTGCCAAATTGCCAATTTATAAATCATACATACTAATTACCAATCATGCCATCGACCATGCCAATTTATGATCGTGATTATACAATTCATGATCATTGCCAATTTATGATCGTGATTATACAATTTATGATCTTGTCAATTTATGTGATTATGCAATTTATGATCGTGATTATGCAATTTATGATCTTACCAATTTATCAATGAAATAGGAGATTATCTCTAAGAAACAGAAAACCGAATAAACTGGCTGTTATATATTGCCAGAGGGTGAACCTCCGGTCGTTTAAATTGTTTGTTCTCTAATTCTAAAAATTTTTTCTCTTCAGCTTCATCAAATTGTTCAGATATTTGAGATGGGTCTGGATCATCACAGATAGCAGTAACCCAACACCCTAAAATGTCACTTAATTCTCTAGCTTCCGGGCGTTTAAGTGGATCACCATCCCAACATCTTTTCATTAATGTTGAGAATACTTCCGGAGTACCATCAACAATTCCTGGACGATAATCATTACAAATTTTCATTGCAAGCTCTGAATCATGAGGGACTTGACAGAAAGGTCTTATACAACTTGATAACATCCACATGATAATTCCAAAGCTATATATGTCAGATGCTTGAGTATATTCTTTACCTTTTAATACTTCAGGAGCAATAAAGGGCAAAACACCATAATTTATAAAATTTTTTGTTCTGGAAGGAGGGCCATGTAACCCGACATCAGCAATTCTTGTATCAATTGACTCGGGTTCATTTTCTACCAATAAATTTCCGCCATGAAGATTACCATGATAAAGTCCATGTTCATGAATTCGTTCAAGCCCATTAGCTATCCCCCAGAGCATATCAACTATATCTCTCCAACAAAGGTATCCCATGGCATCGTCAAGATATTGATACAAGTTTCCATTTTCGTAAAATCTCATAACAAACATATAGCATCCTTCTTGGTCACATGTTATCCCAAAAAAGTCGGCTACTGATCCACTTTGTATACACTTATAATAATCTGAAATCTATATAAATTATAATAAATAATTATATTAATATGTATTAATGTATTAATATATATTAATTTTCTTCATGATACTAAATTATATTATAATTGCGACCAATAATAGAAATGTAAGTTGCAAAGGGTATATTTGAGTAAATACGTGTTAGAAGGCCACCCGACTTAGTGACTGGACTTGTTTCAACTCGTAACTCGCGAATTAAACACAGAAGAGTACTCGAATCATATAATTGATTATTTTTAATTATTCGATTTATTCGAGTTAAGAAATTAATTTAGTGAAAATTTTTGTGAGTTAAATAAATAATAGTTATCGTATAAACACAAAATAACGCACAGGGGCGTTGTTTTGAATAATGGCCCGAATTAAGCCTAATTTAGACCAAAATTCGAAATTACACCTCAGCGCGTTATTTCGCGCTTATACAGTAATTCGCGAGTTAAAATTTCGTGATCAATTACTTTGAGTTATTCGAATCACTATCCCGATTTAGCCTGGTTTAATGTAAAGTTAAACTTTTCAAGGTTGATAATTATTTCTCAACCTTCAACATCGAGCGAGCCAATCAAGGATAATCTTTACTAATCATGTGATTTATTCCGTATCATAGTTGTGTTTATTTAAACAATTAATCAATGTTGAATGACCTCAGGAAAAATAATTGATATAAGCCCCCCCTTTTTTTTTAGTCGTTTATAATGTTCTGGTCACAATAAGTACTATTTGGAATAAAGATGTGCCACGTACAATACTGTACGTACTGTACACGAAAAAGTTTACCGATCCTTTCTACCAACCAATCAAATCGCTAGATACACATCGTACGTATACTTGCTGGACAAATCCCAAACCCCTAAAAAATAATTGCTATTTAAAAAAAATTAAATCAAACAAATAATTCCAAAATTTTATAAATATATATTCTATAAGATTATATTTGATTTATTTAAACAATGATTATTAATAAAGTTTATATAAATCAAATATAATCTTATAGAATACATATTTATAAAATTTTGGAATTATTTGTTTGATTTAATTTTTTTTAAATAGCAATTATTTTTTAGAGGTTTGAGATTTGTCCGAGTTTGACCAGCAAGTATAATCGTACGTACTGTACGCGAAAAAAATTCGGATATCATATAAATGGCACATCACTAGGTGGGAATAATGAAATATTTTCCCGGTGGCATACGTGGGGCGCTTTGCTTCCATAAATGTGCCGCTGGGGGAATTTCCCCGACACGGCAGAATAAATGAGTTATTCGACGTTTCATATGACGGCATGACACAGTGACTCGTGTTACTAATTGTTTTTATCACATTTCCTTTACATTTTACCCTTTTTTTGGGGAAACAAATTGTGATTAATAACACGTAAATCCTCGTGATACGTAATCTGCCAAATAATTCGTCATCCGAGTCATTTAGCAAATAAACCACCGGATAACACCGTCATTGTATGCTACGCAGTCAATAACTTGTTTATCTGGCAGCAAATTTAATATGGGTCATTTCTGGGCCCTTCGGGGCCCAGAAATAGTACGTTAAATTTAAAGCCAAAGCCAGATAAGTAAGTTATTGGTGCGTAGCACTCAATAACGGTATTATCCGATAACTTGCGACGACTGGACCATCGGAATAACCTGAGTTGTTTTGATGGTAATTACGTTTCACCAAATAACTTCGTTATTTGGTGAAACGTAATTACCATCAAAAAAATAACTTGAGTTATTCTGATAGTCCGAGATATCGGGTAATTCTCGTTATTGGCTGCTTCGTATCCATAACTATACATTAATGACTCCCTACACTGTACAGGTGATACGGATTAACCTATTAAATTTTACGGATAAAAATATCACAAGACTGCGCAATTATTAATTTTGTCTCCAAGTACAACCATCATAATAAACTTGTAGTAGGTTGGGCAATTTTTGTAAGTTGCATATAACTTACTATAATAGAAAATAGTGTAAGTTACAATAAAATCCTATAGCGCCAGTGGCACCGACAGATTTTCACTAATCGACAGCGAACCCTAACTTGTAGTCAATAATTAATAATTGCGTGTTTGATCACGAAATTATGTGTGATTGGAATCGAACGACTCTTGAGAAAGGAAGAGAGAAAAAAGATATCTTTGATATTATCTATATTATAAAAATTTAGGTGTTCAATCCGTCTCGCATCACGTAATTATTTGCTACTCACGGGTCAAGTAACTAGTATTTAATAAAATATCTCCAAAGTGTTTAAAAAAAAAAAAGCACTTACATTATTTAAATAAGCATCACTTATTTCGCTAGATTTGCCAATCTTTTTTAGGGCACATTTAGTTGGTCCATTCCTATTCCAATTTTCACTGTCATTATCCCAAATCCATCTTGGACCATCGAGCCAATAGCCTGAAAGTATAGTACTAAAAGAGCCACTCATTATAGGTTCAACAAGGATAAAATTGTCAAATGGAATCCACTCAAAATATGCCATGCTCTCCGTAGCATTTGACTGAGTGATTCTAATAATCTTATCAAGAATGGAATTTCCGCTTGTCCAATTTATGAAATTTTTTTCAAAAGCAGTAACCTCGCACGACGTGCACCAGCACGGACTGCTTCGTACTTCCCCACACTCAAAGCACATTCCATACTGGCATGGAGTGTCGTTGTACTGAGGGAGCGGATCAGTAAAAGAAGTGTATGCCATTATTAGGGAAAACAACTTAGAGAACGGTTTGTTACAAAACCAAAAAATGAAAACTTTGTATCCGAATTCTTTATTTTGGTCTTGAATACCAAAATGGAATAATAATGCTATCGAAGCAGATAGAAAATGGTATCCCTAGAAAGCTAAGGGGTTGAAGGAAAACAAAGGAGTTTAAAATTGCATATTATTATATAAAAATAGCATATCTATTATGATACTTGGCGTGAAAATAAAAAAAAACCGGTTTTAGTAAACTTGTTTCATATGTCAAAGCATTGGATTAGTTTAAATATTAGTCAATTAATTATATATAGTAAATAACAGCGCATGTTTGTAATTATGTAATGATAACGTTAACGTTAAACATCCGTTAATCCGCGTACATATATATGTTATGTTTAGTGTCATTTAAAGAAATGCAAATCGGGTATTATTTATTTTAGATGAGATTTTATTTAGTTGAGACCTGGATTATCAAAGATGATCATAAAAAGACAGATCTTATTTTTTTCAATTATCCATAATATATATATGTGAAAGTGACCTAGTTATAAAATATAGTTTTGCAAAAGGCAAACTTCTTTTAAACATATCAAATATTGGCAGGGATGTTCAGCTATATCACTAATATCATCTTCGGATATCACACTTAGTCGGATTCAATTGTTTTGGTTTCGTATTACAGTCACAAAGGGAACGCCCATAAAAATATGAACTCATACGCGAACTGAATAAATGAAAATTATTGACCATGTGCTTCATACATCAAATAAATCTCTAACCAATAATCCAATGAGATTATCCCCTTAATCATCTGTAATACGCGCGTAAATAAGGTATGATATTTACTTGTATCATGGAGTTTGCTGATCTGGCACATCTTTCAGGCAGGGCATTCTCTTATAAGAATTTTCTTATTATCTTTTCATTAAAGATGTCTCTTCATAAAACATATTTCTAAGAAATGTTTCGCAGGAAAATTCCTGTAAAGAAAACATTCTATTGGAAAACGCCTTACTGAGAAAGCGATTGTCAAGAAAATTAATCCTATTGTGCTCCAAGTCACTTCTCATCAAATTATGTCTACGTTTTTAAAATCTTATAACTATGATATTTTAAAAAAATGTCTTTATTTTGTATAATCTGTAATCTACGCAATTGACGCAAAAATTGTTCTAACATTCTGTATCTTTCTGAGGAATACGCTCGTATCCTAGGTTCATTGATCTATATTGGAATATATCTAACAAATTTGACGCACTCGAATATATCTAGCCAAATTTGGAGAAGTGACCTGGAGCACCACATTTATGTGTCAAATTTTATGTCAAATTTGTCAAATATACCATTTAATTAATTTCATTAATAAGTTATATACTTTGATTTGCTAGTTTTAATAATAAAAAAAAGCCAATATTTTTACAAATTAGTAAAGCTTGACCTAGACCTTTTTAAATTAATTAATTTATGTCGTAGCATAGTTACCATATATATCTAATATAATTTTTAAATTTAAATTGTTTCACATATTAGGTCTATCTACAAACATGCATGTCGTCGATCTATAATGCACGTACAACACCTTTTAATTCATATGCATCGGATATTTTCAAACCCATGTTGTGTTACGGAATGAAACAGTGCCCGTGCCAGTTTACAGGTCAAAATAATCCTTACATTCAAAATCTTTAAGCCAGAATTTGGCCCTGTTTTCAGAATTTAGATACCAGGATTATAACTGTCGGGATTTTGATCTGTAACCGAGTACACCACATCAGTTTTAAACTGGAGTGGTTTATATGTTTTGTTATGGTTTAGTGTACTCTATTAGCAACTTAAGGTTAGGATTAAATTTACGAGAAAATTTTTTTATTAGTGCATATAAAGCAGTTTCATAGCGTAATTTGTAAGGTTCTGTAAGCGCCAAGCTGTTACAGCTTATGCCGTACCTAACTATGAAACAAACTTTAAATATGTAGACATAAGTCTTAACAGCTTATACTGCTCTTGCAGAAAATATAGGTGCAAAATATTTATTTCGCGCTATATCTCATTGTAAAGATGTGTTGATACGTATTTACGATGATAACTCAGTAACGTAATGCTTCTGTACCTGTAGCAGAACCTAGTAATTAAGGTTAAGGCATGGTACTAATCACTACTCGAAAAATTTCAACTATCCAACAAAATGTAAGATCAATCTCGCTAGTAATCAAATTTCAAGGTCAGTTATAGCAAAGTAACAGAAATTTAGTCTAGTATAAATAAGTGATCATACCACCTTATTACGAGACTTGGTTTCTGCTTCATTTTATTAAAAAGACTTCACATTATTCATACATTTTTATTACCAAAAAGTATTAGAGATATCCCAAATTTAATAATAACGTCGGTATTTAAATATGACTAGAGATATATTTATGCCGATATGTGCAGTATAATCAATACATATCCAGATATTATAACTAAATTTGGATTCTGACATTAGCTCTAAAAAGTATCGTATATTTTCTCACGCCAGAGTTTTGTAACATTATGACATCCTCGATCAACACATTCTACTGTAGTTATAGAAATGGTCGCATGCGTGGAGCGTGGAAATTTGTGAGCCTTCGCAAGGTTTTGATATAGTACCCATCCATAATTCTGACCGGTTAGTACAACGGAGACCATTGCAGATCCTGTGAATTTTATAGTTAGTGACGGTCAAATTGGTCAAATTTCACGCGCATTATGCGTTATGATGGCTACCAACTTATTTTATTTTATTTTTTTTCGATGTTCGTCTAGTTGAATTCTCTAAGCACATTAACCATAAGTATTCATTTAAAAGAAATTAAAAAAAAAAACTTGATTTAAACCTTTAAGCCATATGAAGCTTAATTATTTTTATAATTTAAAAGTACTTTCCTTTAGTAATTTACACAAACCTGTCTTTTTTAAAAAAAATATACGTAATAAGGATATTGTAACAATTGGTAACGATTTGATATTGTGATTTTGTAATCACTCCATGTGATAACATAGGCATTGATTAATTTTTATAGATCTACCCGTGATTTCCTATGATTATTAGCCAATCAAATTACAAAAAAAAAAAAGGCATAGAGAAATTACAAACTAATAAATACACACAAATGAATTTACAAATATATTTATAGAATAGAAAGATATGCGTATAGTGAAGAATGGTCCAAACTTAAATTTGTACCTATACAATTTAAACAAAGTTTATTTAGTATAATAAAAGTTCTTAAATAAAAAAAATCTCTAGTTCTTCAATAGATGGTGATATATTTTATTATATTTTTCCTTCTAATAAAGGAGTGGATCTTTTTTGCATAGCGAATATTAACAAGTGCTCAAAGGTTACAAATAGCTCAAGCTTTTTTTCTTTACCTATTAAGTCAACACCTCTTGAATTTTAGATTATTTTTAAGTGACATGTGTTAAAAAATTTTTTTTTCGGTGAAACGTTATGTTCTCAGATAGTACTGTACTTCAAAGTGTATAAATAAGTTACCGTGCAATTTATTTGCATCAGCCAATCAAATCCTCCTAAGTCATGTGATAGCATACTACAAAAGATATTTAAAAGATATTTTATTTATTTTAGTTATAAGAATGTCAATTGTCCGATGTTGTTCTAGGCATAAGTATTTCAGATCATGGAAGTTTTGGATTATATGATGCTTCTAGTCACCAAAACGTATAAATTGTTATCTTTTAATGGCTCAATTGATACCTATAAATGTCATAAGGCCGCATCCAACGTGGAAGCCTTTCATCCAAATTTTAATAATGTCGATTCTTATAACCTTTTTCTGTAATTTGTGGCCCATAAAGTAAATATAACCTTAAAAGTAATTACTATCACTATAATTCGATTGATTGTTCCAGATCAATCAATTGGTTTGATTTAAACTAAAAATAACTCCAATAAGACCGTAGAAAATAATACTGTTTTTAAAAATGTTTAAGATGTTACCCTCTACACCTTAAAAAAACACCTGATGCGTATAATTAAGTATTACCTTAAAATTGACCTTAAGGTTTTGTTTAAAGTCTATTATTCTACTTTTAAATCGATCTGATTGGTATAGATCGCGATCTGATTGGTGTTTATCAGTTAAATATGATTTGATTGGAGGTAGCTTTATAGATGCAGACTTATGACATCACCCAGTTACGTCCTATATAAAAAGTCGGGTTATGAAATAAGACACAATTGGCCTGTAACTAATGACGTAAATAAGTCTAGTTTGTGGCATAGATTGCTGAACTACGAATCAGTCTCAAAAATCAGGATAAGATATCGCCTTTAATGCTCTAATAAACAGTTTTAATTGGGCAATTTACTATATAAACTACTCCTCTCTGATCCTAACTCTGAACCTAACCCTAACATAAACGAACTTTAAAGAAGCTTTGCTGCGCCACAAACCTGGCACACATTGAAGGATTGCTAGTTTCTAAACCAGTGGCATCATTTTTTATAAGTTAAAGCTTTACCTGTTTTTAGTTTCAATATAATTAAATTCGGATTTAACATATAAAATGACGCGATGTCACACGCTTTAACGTAAATATCACGTCATAAAATAGCATGATAATAGTGTGAAGCCAATATGAAGTCATATCAATAAACGAAAATTATTTCCTTTTTGTTGATTTCTTGTCATTAATGCTATATCAACCAATTAGATCGTGAGAAATAAATAAACATTACATATACTATATGTACATTTAGGTGCTATATGAATAAAAAGTTACGGCTAAACTTAATATACAATCTTCCTTTAGTAACGGTAATATACTTATCTGAACAAAATCAATATATAGTCGGATGTTTTAGAGCATCATTTTATTGATAACTCCATGACACAAAGCTCAGTGAAAAAGGTTAGATGAGATCAAATGTGACAGTAGCCCACACCATCTAAATGTCATTATGTAATATAGTATCACAGGCAATCAATAAGATGTATTATAAATCAGCT